TTTGAATGACTTAAAAGAATTAATACAAAATATACCTCTTGAAGAAAAAAAATTTATTGGAGGAGATTTAAATGGACATGTTGGTAGAGAGGTAGATGATGTTAAAAAAAATCATGTTGACCATGGGTTTGGAATAACAAATGAAGGTGGCAAGACCATATTAAATGTTTGTTTAGCTTATGATTTTTTAATTCCTGATACCTTATTTAAGAAAAAAAAAATGAGCATCTTATCACTTATAAAAATAAATATATTACAACTCAGATTGATTATTTTCTTATAAGAAAATTAGACCGTTTATATTGCAAAGATTGTAAAGTTATTTTGAATGAAAATTTTTGTGCCTAACATCGATTATTAATTTTAGACTTTAAGATAAAGAGACAAAAAAATTTAAAGTAAAATGATATTCTAGAATTAGATGGGGGCATTTAAAGAATATTAACAAAAATATTTTTAAGGGAAAGATTTTAGATCTTAAGATTTTATATGTGCATGAGAATGCTAATGTTATGTGAAAAAAGTGGCTAATAATATTAAGCATATTGCAAAAGATGTGCTTGGAGTATCAAAAGGAAAAGCTCCTAATAGTAAAAATAGTTTGTGGTGTAATCCAAATGTACAAGAAAAGATTAAAAATAAGAATATCTGTTATAAAATTTGAATTAATTTTAAAAATTTTAATAATTGGGAAAGATATAAAAAGGCTCGTAAGGAATCTAAGAAGGCAATATGAGATACAAAATCCTTAGCTTTTAGTGATTTATATAATTGAATAGATACTAAAAAGTGAGAAATATATATGTATAAGTTAGCTAAATAAAGAGATAATAGTAGCAAGGATTTAGTTTAAGTGAAGTGTATTAAGAAAGAAGATCAAAAAATACTTTTCTTAGAAGATGATATTAAACAAAGGTGGATGAGATATTTTGCTAAACTTTTTAATGAATATTATGAAAATAAGATTGATTGTAGTGACCTTAGCACCCTAAATGAAAATAAAGATTTTTATTTTTATTAGCGTATTAGTAAAACTGAAGTTAGAGAGGCTTTCAAGAAAATAAAGGGTGGAAAAGCTGTTAGACTTGATGGTATTTCAATAGAGGTGTGAAAATGCTTAGGAGATGAAGGAATTTCTTGGCTTACTGAACTTTTTAATAATATTTTGAAGACTAAAAAGATGCCAGATGAGTGAAGAATGAATGTGTTAATTCTTATTTTTAAGAATAAAGGTGATGCACAAGATTGTGCAAACTATAGAGGAATTAAGTTAATGTGTCGTACTTTAAAACTATGGGAGCGAGTTATGGAGCATAGCTAGGTTGTGGTATGATACTAATGTTTTTCAAAATCAATTTAGATTCATGTTAGGTAGGTCGACTATAGAAGCCATACATTTATTAAGAGGTTTGATGAAGAAATATAGAGAAAATAAGGAGGGTCTACATATGATATTTATTGATTTATAAAAAGCATATGATAAAGTTTCATGAGATGTGCTATGGTTAGTTCTTGAAAAGAAAGGAGTTAATAGCGCATATATTCAAATCATTAAAGATATGTATACATTACCTATTACTTGTATTCAAACACAAGGTGGTTTGACCAAGTATTTCCCTATTTCGGTTGGGTTACATCAAAGTTCAGCCTTAAGTCCATATATTTTTACTTTAGTCATGGATGTTCTCACCAGACATTTGCAAGAGTTTGTACCTTGGTGTATGCTTTTTGTTGATGATATTCTTCTTGTTTATAAGACTAGAGATGAAGTTGAAGGTAAACTTGAATTATGGAGGTCAACCTTAGAGTCTAAAGGTTTTCGCTTGAGTTGATTATATCTCAAAAGATTCTGACCCCTTATAACCCCCAAAAAATAAATTTTAATAATAATGAGCAATAGACAAAGTTCAATAACTTCGAGCAATAGATATAGTTCAACATTTCTAAATTTAACAAAATATCATATATAATGGTAGGCAATAAAAATCCTACTAAGAAAAATTGCACATTTTCAGCAAATAGCCAAATTACTAAATATCGTATATAACACTATTTTAAGACTTTAATTGTGCTACATCATTATTTTTTAAAGTCCATATTATTTTCTATGTGCTGAAAATTGTGTAAATTCTAAAACCTAAATTCTAAATTTTTTAGAAAAAATTCTAAGTGTTCAAAATCTTAATCTCTATAAAATATAAAAATTTAAGAGGTGAAAGATTTATAAATTCAAAGTTAACCTCATTTTTTCATAATCGAAAGGAAAATTTAATTGAAAATTTTGATAAAAACTTAATATTTTTAAAAAATTTAAGATAAACAAAACGCGACTAACCTCGAGATGAAAAATTATTATAATTAGACCACAATAACATTTATTTTATGGTCATGATAATTTATAATTTGGACTTATAATGACTCCTGAAATATTTTTTAATTGTTAAAGATTAAAATGTACCTTTTCAAATTTAAAGATTATTGCATATTAATATATTCGGTATGAAACATGATATACATGTATTGGCACTATACAACACGCAAATGATAGATGTAGAGTCATGATAATTTATTTAATGCAAGTGTAATGATTTACACAAATAATATATAGATTGTCCTATAATTGAAGTGTATAGTATACACAGCTCACCTTGGCCTGTTGGTTGAGAGCTTATGCTTTCAGCTAAGAGGTATTGGGTTCGAGTCTTTGTGTATGTGTTGTGTGTGTGAGTTTGCCTTAAATGGCCTAAATGTCCAAAAAAAAAGTGAAGAGGATGACATAACCAACTGATCATTTGTATAGTTACTAATCAATGATTAGAAGATATATAACCTATAATGATTTTTTTTGCTCATATGAAATGACACTATACATATTAACTACCTTATGTTTTCATAGTTATATATTTATAATGATACATGTTGATTCATTGCATGCATACTGCTTCTACAACATTGCTTTTATTACAATTGTAGGTTTTAATGACCTGCTGAGTTGTTAGCTCTTTATTTTATTTATATATATTTTTAGAAATGGGTCATGATCTAGTGGACTGAGATCGATTGGGATTTTTAAGTTTTATTTTATTTTTTATATTTTGGTCTTATTCTTTTGTAGTTAAGAGTGTAAAGAGCTAGACCGGTGTAGTGATTGATCTCCTGGTTATTATAAATTAAAATTTTATGAATGAATATATAAATATTTTGATAAATATTATTTATAATTACTTTTGCTAGTTTTATTTATACTAACTGGTTATTAAAATATCTAGTAGATTAATTAAAAGATGAATTGTACAATTCTTCTAAATTTATATCTTGGGGAGTCATAGACTCTTTCTTTTCCTCTCTCTTTTTTTTTTTTTTTTTTTTTTTTTTTTTGGGTGGGCTTGACCTATATCTTAAGTTAGGTGATGACATCTTTACACATACAATGTTGGATCCATTAAAAATTATGATATTTGGGCTTTAAAATCAGAATGTATACTGTTGACCTCGATTTTGCCCAGATTTGGGCCCTCCCCACTGGGTTCAGTGGGCCAAGTCGAGTCTGTCGAGCCCGAGCTTGGACCTTGGGTCAACCCAGTTGACCAAGTCAACTAGGGTTGACCACTTAAAAAAAGGTTTTTGATTTGAAGTTGAATTCATAATACAACCTAGATGTGCTGGCATTGGATAAACAAGTAACAAAAATGGAGGTGGCTGGCTGGTCTTTATGGTGTTAGCCATAAGTAGAGGAGACTTATAGCAGTTCTAGTGGCATGCAGTGGTACGGGTAGTGGTGTCGGTTAGTGGTGGCGGCAAACAAAGCTTCATGAGCATAATGTATTTGAAATTTGATCAAATCATAAGAATTTCAAATATATGGAAAATGAACTAAATGATGAATTACAAATACATCAACAAATTAATTTGTATTCTTTTTTTAACCAACCAAACAACTAAAGTTTGAACACCCCATTCATTTTACTCTACATTCCTTTTTCAAACATTCAAACAATCCCTTAATTACATATGCATTATATCTTTCTAGTTCAATATTCTTTAGGAGAAACACTAATTTCATTATATTATTTTTCTTATTTTCATATGCATGTCTTAAAAAATATTTTAAATAAGAATATCTTGAAAACTAAACACAAAAATAAAATTATTAACTGACCATTATAAAAATATATTAAATCAAATCATTTTTTTCTTTAATTATGAAGCAATAAATCATGCATAAATTATAAGTTATTTTTATTATTTTATCATAACTATATTTTTAAATAATGAAAATAAACAAAAATTTATATTTATATTAATAAATAAAATAAAAATAATAATTTTTGAAAAAAAGCAATATTAAAATATTAGTATTTTACTAAATAAATATAATCAATTCAATCTATGTGCATCAAATGCACATGCACTTTACTAATTATTGAAAAAATAATATCAAAAATGGTTTTGCAAAATAAATTTAATTAATAATATAACTATTTAAAAAAAAATGAAGGCTATTATCATTTAAAAAATGTTCATTTTTATTAAAGACTACAAAATATTAAAAGCTTTTATTTAACAAAAAAAAATAAATAAATAGAATTTTAATCCATCATTTACATATCACGTTAGCTAGTCTAGGGGTCATTAACGAAATATAAAGTTCTCAAAAGTCGTGCATAAGATTCACAGGCCACCTCGCGAATGGATCTACCATTGGGGGACATTTGAACTCGATGTTATTGCAGGTCCGGCTCGCGTACTCGTAAAACCTCGATCTGAACCCGACCTACAGCCGAAGCCCTTTCTCGTACCCCTACCGCTCCGCAATCTCTCCATCTGCTGCTTCTCCGGCGACCTCCCCACCGTCGGCGATCCCGAACTCACCGGCGGCAGGTACCCTCCATGCCCCCCCGCTTCCGCTTTCTCCCTGCATCTCTTGACCTAGATCTAAATTTAGGTTGATTTGAAGGGCATTCGACCGGAATTAGACCGTTCCGGTTCGACCGAACCGGCCTCCCCTTCCCCGGGCCATTCTGCAAGCCCGATATCGTTCTTCGATACCATCCCAGTTTCGTCGACCTGGACCTTACTCTGCTCCACCCGGAGCCAAACCCTAGGTCGGAATTCATCTTGTCTTTCCTCGGCCTCTTCAGCGACCTCTGCTCCAGCATAATAAATTTCCTCTCCAAATGTATTTTTCTCTTCCACCTCTGCTTCAGTCTAAACTAAAACCCTAGCTCTTGCGTTTTGGTTCTATGCTTATCTTAATTTTGTCCCGTGCATGTTTACCTGCATGAGTTTAGCGGAACGTGGGACTCCTTGAGTATGTCCGATTCGCCATGTTTCAGTATAACGCGATGAGAGTGTATGGCAGTAATCGAGGTCGCGAATTATTGTATGGAAGAACGAGCTCTCTATTATAAGGCCCGGTGTCCAAGTTTGTTCCTTGTTTTTTTTTTTTTCAAGTTAGAATGTATGTTTTGATCAATTACTTTTGATTGATTGGTTTGGGAGTTTGATTTGTTCTGTTTTCTTTGGCAACTTGGTCATTCTCAATGCTGCTATACACTTGTTATACTTGGTTACATTAGTGCAAACGCTATTTTTTCATGGTTTTATGTGAGAAAAAGCTGCTTGTAATGTTGGAATGGAGCAGGGGGACGAGCCTATATTGTTTGCTGGTGGTATTTTCTTGCACTGCTCTGCTGAAATTTTAAAGCTGGCTATCGATGGGTCTTATCGTGCCAATGCACGCGCTGCTCAATTTTCAATTTTAATTGATTTGTCTGACTGTAGCTAAAAAATGATTATGTAGATATCATTGCAAAGTTTCCATGGCTAAAGCTGGTCTACTGTCATAAATGACCAGATGTAGACCAAAAACTTTTAACATATGCGCTGGCTTAAATATAATGATAAGTGCATTTGGTAAAGCGTGATGATTGGAATTCATAGTTTAAAATAAACGAAATTTACCAGGTATTAGAGGGATCCATGCAATTATTAAGTTTGAATTGCTGTTGAAAATGAAAGAATTTGATTGAAACCTTATAATTCTTAAATGATTTTGGAATAGTAGATTTTATTTAGATGGATGGATGGATAGGAAGATGACGAAATTTCTTTTTAGATGAAGCTTGTTTGTAGCTTGTGGCATTATAATGAAAACAACAATTTGAAATTAAACTAGCATATGAAGGAGAAAAAGGATTTGTTTTTTGTGGAGCAGTTAAAACTTAATGCGATATGATGGAGTGCAAGGATAGTATTGAATCGATTTGAAATGAGTTTGACTCGACTATAATAATAGAAATTTTTTACTTGATTTGAAATTATAATTGATTTGAAGCAAGATTGACCTAGCTAGACTCAAAATACATGAATTTGAAGTAGGCTCAAAATTTATTTGGAGCCGAGAGTTGACTCAAATTCGACATTAACTTACTATAGATTGGTTGTGTGTGTGTGTATATGTATATGGTCATCAACTCAAACTCTACTTTGAGAAAAAAAATATACACAAATTTCTTGAAATTAAAATTGTGTCAAACCAAATTTTGAGTTATTTTTGAGATTTTGTGTTTCAATCAATTTCAATGGCCCTAATGAAGTATTGCAAGTTATCAAATTAGATTTTTTGTTGTCGACTGGCTATCAACAAACCCAATGTAGACCATTTATTCTTGTTTAATATGGTGGCAATATTCAATTTTATATATAAGAGCATATATGCAATAATTTAATTATTCACTTAGATTGTCGTTTGTCATTTGTTTTATCTGCACACTAATAAAAAATGATGTTTGAAGGAGGCATATTTTTATTGGAGTATTATGGTAGAGGCTGAGCAAAAGCTTATGTGATACTTAAACATTACAACAACAACAACAACATCAAGCCTTTATCCCACTATGTGGGGCCGGTTATATGAATCTTTTTTTCTTTATTGTGTCATGTTAAGAGTCAAATTATCATTTAAATTTAATAAATAAAGGTCATTTCTAATCTTTTCTAACCAAATCTTTTTAGGTTTACCTCTACTTTTCTTAAGATAAGCCAAATCCAATACATCAAATTTCCCAACTGGGTCATCGAAAGACCGCCGTTTATGTGACCAAACCACCTAAGACGACTATCTCTAATCTTATCTTCCATAGGAGGTACTCCAACAATTTCATGTATATGCTTATTTTGAATCTTGTCTTTAAGAGTAAAGTCACTCATCCACCTGAGCTTCCTCATCTCTGCATCCTCTTGAGCATCCTCATAAACATTGTTGAAAAAAAAATGCAAGGAAAAAAGTAACAATAGGTCAAGATTCATACAATGGGATAGTATGTCTTGCTTTAAATTGCACTGTAACTTTTGCATAAGTGTCTTCGATATTTTATGAATTTGGAGCTACTTTGGTTTACTTGCGGAAAGGATTATTCAGTATTATTTTATAATCCCAGGCATTCAGCTAATTCCATCTTTCTAAGCCATGAAACGACCAGAAGTTCATTTCACAATTGCAATGTCAAGCCCATGTAATTCATAGAGATGTTGAACATGGATTTAAGAAATAAAGTTCTTTGTTTGTCCCAATCAGTGTATCTGTTATTAATCGTGATGACACCAGTGAGACATTCATTTCTCTGATATTTTGGGAGGGAACTGTATGGTACTGCAAATAAATGTGATGAAAAATGAGAGAGCATGTACTATGATTTTAGATCTGGTTCTTCATTTGATTCTCTACTACACCTGCAGGTTTCTGTAAGAGTTCTAAAGTGTTTGGATTGGATGACTCCATTTTAAATTTGTTGAATAATATTCTTTTTTTAATCCTCTAAACATGACAGATGGACAGCCAATGAAGTGCCCATTTTTATTCTCTTTCGTTGAGCTTAGAGCTTTGAATAGAATTGTGAGGACTTTGTCTTGTATCCCTTTCTTCCGTTCTCTTTTTTAATGTATCCTCTTAAGGAATAGGCAGTTTGTTTCTTTTTGGCCTTTCTTTTCTCTCTTTAGCATCAAATGGTTTGAAATCCTTTCTTTTTTTAATATCTTTTCCTGCTATTTTTTATTCCTCTAGATTGTTAGTCCTTTCTGCTCTCTTTATCTTTACCTTGTTTCATTTCTTTAGTTATTTCATCTGTTAGGTTGCCCTAGTCATGGCCTTTTAATTTTGTGGAATATTTTGGAAATTTGAATTTACAGGAGTTCTTGAAGGGTGAATGTTGAAAAGTTAGTACAACAGTTATGCATGGATGCAGCCCAGGATTTACCCTCTTGGTGAATGCAGAGGTTGATTCCATGGGTGGTGTTGTTGATTGTGAAGCCGGTTTAGATACCAAATCATCGCCCCATCGTGCAGCAATTGCGAAGGCACAGGAGGAGCTACGGTTGGTTTGATTCCGTTTAATTTGTCATTTTTGTAATATGGATTACAGATATGGCAGAACGTAGTGCATGTATCAACTGTTCATAAGATTCAATGGCAACATCCTTAATTTTAGCAAATTCAGAAGCTTATTGAATTTATGTTTTTAGCCTGAGGACATTGGTCAATGCTATTGACTTGAAAAAAAAAGCTTTTCTTGTACATAGTATATGATTATTCTATTATAACTGCTGCAGACTGGAATATGATGTGCGCGAAGAGCGAAGAAGAGAGCTGGATTTCCTGGAAAAGGCACCTTGATTCTGTTCTTTTGTTGCCTGATAAATAAAATAGTTTGCATGTTTATTTTTGGTTTCAGTAAAATTCCATTCATTCTGCAGGGTGGTAATCCGCTGGAGTATAAATTTGGTCGTGCAACATCAATCAGTGTACAGTCTACTTCTCTCCGAGATCAGCTTGCTGAGCAATGCATGATAAGGTTTATTCTATTTAAAATTTTAACAGAGCATTTGAAATTTTAGCAACAAATGTTTCGTCTGTTCCAATAGCATTATTGTGAATCTCTTATCCCTCTTGATTTTTCTTGTACTTTTCACCGTAGTGAAGCGAAGGGTAGCTTTGCACTGGCTGCATCACCTCATGGGGATTCTGTTGAAAGCAGTGGCCGGCCTGCAGGTTCTACGGGTCGAGAGCCTAACATTGCAGACAATCTCTTACTATTCGCTGGAGAAAATAGTAGTCCTGGCAGAGAGAAAAATGCAAGAAGAACAGGGAGAAGAAGTAATGCTGCCCCGGCAGAACAATCCTCTAAGATTGATAGTTGTCGTAATACAAAAGAATCAAATGATTTGGTGATTTTCCGACTTGGACCAAGTGGTCAGGCATATGCTCGGAGGAATCGGTATAGATCAGGCCGGGATAGTCACGGCAATAAATCTCCACTTTTATTTTCTTCTCATACAGATTCTAGAGATTTAAAGGAGTCACATGAGGAAGTGCATGCTGAGGAGCACACTGTTTCTTCAATCATAAACTCTAAACCTACAAGTCCTAATGCTAAGAGGGTGCAAAAAAGCTTTGCTTCCACAGATCAATTGGATATTGAAATTGATGGTGGGCTGGCACATCATACGCTTTCTGATACAGAAAAAACAGAATTGCAGGTAGTAAAAATGAACGCTTGCGAAAACTTGCAGGATTTTGATTATAATGCTACTTCTGTTGAACAAACGGCTAAGAGTAGTGCTATGCAAACATCTGGTTTTATTGGGAAAGAATCCACTGCTTCTGTTGGTTTTCTTTCTGCCCCTTCTTGTGCCATTAATAACATTAAAGGTTCCAGCCATGACGACAAGGACAAAAGCTGCAGATCTGCAGATGTAGATGTAATGAATGTGCCTCAGGATAATATTACTGGGAAAGAAAATTTTTCTAGTACTGCCACTGAAGTGCTAGCTAGAAGCAATGCTGACATTAATCCCCTTTTTGTCAATACAGCCAACCTTCACGGAAATGCTGATAGTAACGACTTGTTGGCACTTAGAATTGGTAGTAGCTTAGGCTTTAATTCCAAAGATTATGCAGCAGGTCAAGTTACTTCTGGCATTAGTAGTGCGGTACAAAGTAGCCAAATTGCAGGTTCTGCTGCTTGCATTACTAGTAATGGTGAAGCAAGAACATCTCAGATAAAGATTGACAAATCAGTTAAGGTTAAAGATGAAGTGTTATTATGTGATAGAAGGGACGAGCAAGCTGTAGATAAGCTCCTTTTAAACAATAAATCTGAAATTTCTCAGCATGATAGTACCCATGTCATCAAAGCTGGTGCAGTAAAGGTCACTTCTATTGGCTACAGTCACGAGCCCTCTTCAGAAATCCTTTCCAAGAAGGCTTGCTCAACTGCTCCGGAGCCTCAGAATAGTGAAGCTAACCAACTGAAGTTGGCAAAAAAGGCGCATGAAGATGCCATTTTGAAAGAAGCTCGGATAATTGAGGTTTCTTCTGTGCTTTTTCTTTTTTGAAGTCTGTTTTATATTAGATCCACAATTTAATTTTGATAAAAGCATATTCCTGCTCAGACAAGATTAAAGAAGGCTGGTGTGCCATCTATTGGTTGCATATCTTCAGAGAAGGGAAAAAAAAGCCACTGGCAGTTTGTTCTTGAAGAAATGGCTTGGATGGCAAATGATTTTATGCAGGTTTGATTTTTAAGATGATATTCATACAACTCTTTTGATACTGCATACTATGTGTAGTGTAATTGTTGCACTCAATTTTTGCTATTTTGATACTTTTTGTGCTGATATCCTCATATTTCCTGCTTACCTGATTAACTTTTACTGTTTTATAATTGCTGCATATAAACAGGAGCGGCTTTGGAAGATAGCTGCTGCTGCCCAAGTATGCCACTGGATTGCCTTTGTTGGTAGATCAAAGTTTGAGCAAGAAAATTTGTTCCAGAAGCAGAGGAATGTAGCTCGAACTCTGGCTAAAGCTGTCATGAATTTTTGGAGTTCTGTTGTTGCTATTAGTAAAGGTGAAGCATCCTCTGGCATGAATGATCAGGTTTGAATAAATTAACTGGGTTTTCATCTCTGTTTTTTTGATGTGATTGTATTACTTGATGATTTTTTCACATGTTACTCTTTTTTAACTCCTCTATTAAGGCTTTAGTTTCTGATGGATCTTCATTCAGAAAGTGTGCTGTGTTACTATTATGTTTGTCTAATAAATGATAAGTGCTATCTTTTGTGATCATCAACTTTGTTTTGCATGCGTACAATTAATTCATAAAAAAAAAGCTTTTGCCCTTTCATAATGTTTTGTTGCTGTATTTTATCTGGTGAATTATTGATGCTTTATCCAGATCACATATATTTAAACATTGTTATGTTTCTATCTTCATAATTCATTCTCCCCACGCTTTCATGAATTTATGAATAATTACAATTCTTTTTGTATCAGAGTGTAGAAGCTCGGTTTCTTAAGCCGGGTATCCAGAGCTATGCTTGTAGGCTCATGCAGTATCTCTCTGATGTGTCTAGTGATCCTATCATGGCTGAAGCACCAAGAACTCCTGATAGGATAAAGGATGCTGGTTCATTTGGAGTAATGTTGGATGACCAACTTTCAGAAGTATGTCTTGTGCCTTAGTTTTTTTTTTCTTAACATATTTGTTTTGAAGCTTTCATAATTTTCCCTTTTTAAAGATTAGCTCTATTGTAAGCTGGTCTTCTTTAGTCCTTGTTTGCTTGGGTTTTCTTGGCAATGTGTTGTGGATTGTGCAGATTTCCAGCTTCGGCAGATGAGTTATTGCTGGATTCTATTTCATCAAACTTTAACTGCTATTATTTTTCACTCCAGGAAAACTTGTTCTATAAAGTACTTCCTGGTGCTATGCACTCGTACAGGGAATCAATAGAGTCTCAATGTGCACAGATTAAGGTAAAGTTTATTTCTTTTAACTGTTATTGAATGTTGATGAGATAATTCTTCCAATATCTCGAATCCTTCCAATGCTTCAAACAGGAAAAAATAGGCATTAAACTCCCTGAACTCAATGTTTCAAATGGGCATCAGAAAATATTCTTTTGGAACACCATAAACATCTCTTTGTGGAATAAAATATGCACGTATGTGAAAGCTATGTATTATATAGCATGGTTAGATTATTAAATCTACTTATTTTCAGCAAGAGATCAGAGATGAAAGAGAACACCTTCAGATATTTTTTATCAGCGGATATGACAATAATTATTGCAATTTCTTCATTTCTTTTTTTTTTTTAAATCAAAGTTTGACCTTTTTAATGCTACTTAATAGCAAATTAATAATTGATATTCTCTTCATTATCTGAACATCTATTAGGTTCTTATTTGTGCATTTCTTTGCGATACTTAAAAACTACTGACCACGTCTTAAATTGCTGGGAAGCCTGCCACTAATGTTTGATTAAAATTTTCTGCTTACTGCTAAAACGGCAGTCTCTTTTAATATGCTCAATTCAGAAATGCTTAATGCACTGCAGGAAGAAGAATGTGAGGCCTCAATGTGTGATTCCGTTCCAGGTATCAGTCGGGGTATCAGTCTGGACTACTATTGCTCTCCCTTTATCATTGTGTATTATTATCCTATATTTTGGATGAAAAACATCAGCATTATTTTACTTCTTATCCTTGATTTATTTTTAATGGTAGGAATTGCTTTCGAAGAGGATGAAGGTGAAACAGGTGCAGACATTTTGCCAGGAGTGTTTGAAGGGAATTATTTATCCAAATTTATTCACAAGAAGAGAAAAGTCTATCAACAGAAGTCTTACACTTCTAGATATGAAACTGACTTATCATATAATTCTGCAAGCCATTCTCATGTTCTTATGGAGAAAAGACCTTCAGGTACCCTTAATGTTAGTGCAGTGCCAACGAAGCGTATGCGAACAGCTTCAAGACAACGGATTATTGTTCCTTTTTGTGGTGGACCTTCTGGATCCCTCCCAATGACCAGTAAAACAGATGTTTCAAGTGGTGACACGACTTCATTCCAGGATGACCAAAGCTCACGGCATGGCTATTCACAGCCCCATAAAAATTTAGAAGTTGATTCTACTGTAGATTTTGAGAGATTACTGACATTTGATAGTAGCAATATGCCTATCAAACCAAGAAAGAAGAAGAAACCGAAGCATTTGGGATACAAAAGTTCGCTGAACCTTCCTGATTCCAAGGTCTTGATTGTTTCTGAAAAATATAGGATTATTTCTTTATAAAACTTTACGATTTTGGTTTTTTTTAGAGGACTGATTCCCATGATGTGCAGGCCTCTTCTTATGAACAGAGGTTACAGGCTGATTACATGGTTCAACACGATCAGGTTATTAATGTCTGAAATAAATTTTATCTATAGGTTTTATGCTTTCAGATTTTAAAAGTTATGATAAATTTGCGAACTGTTATATACATCATTAGATCCCAGTGACAGTTGAACGATAACCTATGCTATGTTGGTTATCACCGGTAAAATTAATTCTTTTTATCATGTCCAAATAATAGCTTTTCCAGTTTGAATTTTTCATTTTTGAGCAACTTAATCCTTGAGCTTTTCTTATCTTAATTTTTTAATGGATAATTAAAGTATCTATATAAGAATTCTGTCAGTGGTTCATAGTTTTTAACTTGTCCTACGATGGAGCACGCTAGATGTAACTGTCTTTCACCATTTATTACTTTGTTCATGAACTTGAAGTAGAGTTCTGATTTCTCTCACATTTTATACGTGACTAACAATGTTTTTCACGATATTTTATTAATTATGTTAACTAAATGATATCGTGCATGCAGTTGGAGACGGCAATGGTCTTGATCATTATTCCTTTAAAAACAAAGAAAATAAAAAGAAACAAATCATTGAATTATCTTAGCATGAAAATATACTAAACATTATATTAGTTGCATTTCCTACTAGTTTTTTCATGATATTTTATTAATTCTGTTAACGAAATGATATCTTATGCAGTTGGAGACGGCAATGGTCTTGAACATTATTCCTCTAAAAACCAAAGAAAATAAAAAGATGCAAGCCATCAAATTTTCTTAGCATGAAAATATACTAAACATTATATTAGTTGCATTAGGAAATTATGATATTTAGTCTTCCAACATCCTAAAGAAGACAATCCTCACTTGTAGCCTGATTATAAATCTGAAAGTGGGTGTGCAAATTTTTTGGAAGGTATTTTCAAAGTTTTTTTTTCCCTTTGTGTTATGACAGTTCATCCAGTTTGTAGTTCTATCTGTTATACGTACGGAGTTTTATTTAGAGTTTTGATCCTGTACAAGTGCCTTTTGGATTTCATTCTCTCTCTCTCTAGTTCTTATAATCATATAAAATGTTAACTAGCATTTTTTATGCTCTTCTTCTTGAAGTGAACTTGATCAATCCTCTTATAATATCTAGCCATCATAATTATGATGACTCTCCCCCATTGTACTTTTTTGAGTTATCTTACCTGTGATTAAATATGAGATTTTTCAAATGGATTGAGAAACTTTTTCTGGTTTTGCTTGTGAAGAAGATTTAATAGGTTGGGCAATTATGTGGCATTTTTGATGGTAAGTTTAAAAAGAGACATGATAAAAAAAAGGAATTAGTCATCAAAATGGGATTGGTCAGTTAAGATGTGATTTTTACGCAACTCACACTGATCTGTTGGTTGGGAGCTTTGGCTACCAACCAAGAGGTCTTTTGTTTGAGTTTTGCATATGTGATGTGTGTGCGCATTTGTCTTAATTGACCTAAATGTCTAAAAAAAGATGAGATTTTTTATGACTCTTGAGCAATAAAATTGTTTATATATTTAAGCATGCAAACATTTACAATTGGTCCAATTTGCTTACTTCGTTGCATTCTACAAGGTTGCAATATGTTTGACAAACTGAAAAGCTACCAAACATTAGACTTTTTATTTAGTTAAAAGTGATATCTTCTGTTTAGGGTTGCGTTTGAATATCTGTAACACTTGGGCGCTATACTAACTTAGGAAACCAATCTTCACTGATAGATGCAAAGGCCTGTTGTGTTATTTATCTCTTTTTTAACTATTCAGATGCTTTATTTCCATAATTTATTAAGATTTCTTTTCCTGAGCTCTATTGCATTTTTATAATATAATTGATATGGAGTACCCATTGCCATGTTTATCATTTTTGTATCTTATTGACCTGCCTAGGTTTGAGCATCTAATTATTGAGACAAACTGTTATATACTTAGTTTTCTCTTACCTTTCTTCGCAGAGAGATCATGCTAAAAAGAGGTGTGAAGGCTTGCAGTATGAATCTAATGGAAATATCGGTAGTTTTTCTTTGAGCCAAGTTTAATTTTTCATATTGTTCTCAAACTTTCGATAGGTTTACCCATTTGTAATGACTGTATGCAGGGTTTTACGGACAAAATGTTGCAAAGAAACCTAAGCTCTCAAAACCTGCAGAATCCCCGGAAATGATAATTCCTGCTGGTGGATCCATGCCCTCTCCAGTTGCTTCTCAGATGAGCAACATGTCCAATTCAAATAAGCTCATTAGAATAATCAGCAACCGTGATAGGGGTAGAAAAAGTAAAGCTCTAAAGGTAAACTTTTTGGTTTCTCATCTTTTTTTTTTCCTTCATATTTTTGTTTGAATTTTGCAAGTGATGTGGCATTGGGTTATTAATCATTTGCATCTAACATAGATGGATTTTAGAAACTTTTCTGCTTGTGTATAATATTGTAATGCACTATAACCAGCAGTTGTTGCTGTCACATTTGTATACACTATACTGTTGATCAGTAACTCATTTGTGTTTTCTGATAAAACATTTCTCTTTAGTTTATATGTGTAATTTTACAAATAAAAAATTGTTATATTTCTATTATGTCTTAAAGTTGTGTTTTTTAAATGTAAAGTACAATCTTTGATTGAATGCACAGATTTGTGCTAAGGAAAGTAGGATTCCATGGATTCATTCCAAGAAAGGAAATCATGTTCCCACAGATCTATGCCAAGGATGGAAATTCATAACTCGTTTGGGGGTCGAAAGTATATTAGAAATCTCTGAATTTAAAATTTTTTAGCGTTTGATATTTTTCCCTTTTTGGTGTACCTTGATTTCCTTTCAGATTTATCTCTAGATTGCTTTGTATGAACACTTTGAATGAACAAGAAAATTTTTTAATGCTCCCATGGTATCAGAATGCTCAGGTGGATGAGTGGATTTACTCTTAGAGAAAGGATAAAAAACGAGCATATCCGTGAAAAGGATGGAGTAGCTCCAATGAAAGATAAGATTAGAGAGAGTCGCCTTAGATGGTTTGTTCATGTAAAGCGGCGGCATTTTGATGACCCTATTAGGAGAGTAGATGTATTAGATTTGGCTTATGTTAAGAAAGATAGAGGTAGACCTAAAAAGACTTGGTTAGAAAATATTAGAATGATCTTTCTTTAGTAGATTTAAATGAGAATTTGACTCTTAACAGAACACAATGGAGAAAAAGGATTCATGTAGCCGAGATAAAGACTTGATGTTGTTATTGTTGTTGTTGTCGTCCCATGGTATCAGAACTTTAGGTATTTCAACTTCTTTGTGTCACCACTTAAAGTTAAGTAAGCCTTGTTGTGTTGCAATCGATTGGTACTCTCAGCCTTTATCAATGCTGCTCTTTCTTCATCGTTAATTTCTGCTCTCAGCCTTCATCATGTGACTTCAACGTAATGTCAATATTCAATGCTGTGGAGTTGCCTCTATTTCATCTCTTCATCCATAACCTTGTGATCTCTTCATTCTTTCTTTTCCATTGCTTGATTTCATTTTGGCTCTATCATTTCCAAGCGTTTATCACTTTGTCACTTCACAATTTTGCCTGATTGCGTGGATCTCTAAAATTGTTATTAATTTCTGCTCGACGTCCAACTCTACTTATCAATTTTTCTCAGCATTGACCTTCACCTGCGATCAGCTTTAGCTGCAGTCCTCCACAGATACAAAACTCCTATCATTTGGGCTTTCTTTTTTTCCTTGGACTAATAGCCCTTAGGAACATAGCAGGGGGTAGATATAATAGGAAAGCACTGGCATCAATGAGTCTCACATGATTCTCCAAGGAGATATATTGAAGACTGAATTGAAAACTACCAAGCCGATAATGAGGGAATCGAGGAGGCTAACAAATCATAGGCTCATCTGACATAGCAATCTGTGGACATCAACAAGGAGGTTTCAACAATGATTAAATCGAAGAACTTGAGGCATGATAGAATCCTTTAGGAAGAAATCTTCTGGTGCATTCTCTTTGGCACTTTCAGGTAAGTACTCACTTCTGCATGGATTATATATTTCATAGAGCCTTTGGTCAACTCTTTGGTAACTGACTTAGGTGTCATGAATCACATGACCCCCAAATCTTAATATTTTAACTTATATACTTCATGCCTTAGTTGTAGATTGTTGCAATTCTTGCCTTGCTATCATCACAAGGATTGGTTATCTCCATGGCACTCCTCTAACCCTTATTGGATTTTTGGGGACTAGGATTTTGAGAGGAAGATTGGACCCCCTAAGGAAGGGGATGGGCTTACTATCTTGAAATATAGAGTACTTCACATAGTCATGAGAGTGGGCTCCGAAACCGCACCTCTTTATTAAAGTTTTAACGGATTTTGGTTTTGGGGTAGATTTTCAGATGAAGATTTGGTCTTAGATAAGACACTACCTCGAGATTTAACCCTTATTTTTGTGAGAACTTTTTGATATGAGTTTTAGTTTCTGAGAGGCGCAAGCGCCTATGATTAATTTCCCCTCCCGGTAATAAGAGAGAATTTTCGGTTAAGGCTAGTCGTTAAATAGGTTGCAATAATTATTTAATATATAATAATAGCGATTTTAGGATTTGAATTTTGTTTTTGATTTTGGAGTTTATGATTTGAAATTTATTGCCATATACTTAAAGTGGGTGATGAGGGAATGATGATGAGCTGGATCAAGATCCCATGGTTCCGTTCTGAACTGTTATGATCCTTGGTCTACTTAGTCATAGGAGATAATCGATCCAACGTGATAGAATGATCCTTATTAGCATCTATGAGTTGTGTCGTCCAAGGTTACTACTTTATAGACCTGGGATGAATGCTTGGCTAAAGAATTGAATTTAAGTCAACCTTAGCTAATATAAGGCTTTATATTATAGAGTGCACCCTATAATTCATTACTTAAGTGGCTTTTAATCATTAGGGAACATACAGGCTTTGGCCGTGACCGTAATATAATGGTGTTATTTTGCGACAAAACCATGCAGTCAAAGGGCACGTGTAACGTCCCAATTGGTAAGAAATTAATTGAGAATGGATTGTAGCAAGACATAAAACAAGACATCTACTCTTTGTAAGCTGAAGCTATTCTTCACTTCATCATCCTCGCGAATCTGTTTTGCAAAGTATGGATGGATTTTGGTTTTAAGTTTTTGGTGATTGATTTCATTTTAAGAGTTTGAATTCTTAGTAGGATTTGAGTTTAGGTTTTGAATGAATGATTTTAGAGTTATGAGGAAATTTTGAAAATTAAATAGCTCTTTCTTGTTAAATTTTTTTATCAACATAGCTATCATCAAAGTGTCTGAGCATTTTTAGCAAATCCACGAAGCATTCTCAGGTCTCGCATTTAGGAGCTTGACGTAAAGATCGGAGCACATGTGAACTATTTTTTAGCATATAGATTGGAGCTATTGTCGGAGTGTTTGAACACTTTTAGCGAATCTACGAAGTGTTCTCAGATCTTGCATTTAAGAGTTTGATATTGATGGAATGATAAAAGCGTGTGCAAAATCCTTTTCCAATGTGATTAGGCGTCCCTTGTTATTATCAAATTTAGCAATTTAGATTTGATCTTCCAAATATTAAAATCATTTGACACTCTTATTCTTCCTTATCGTCATTTGTAAAGTTTTTTTGATGTTCTATTACACGGTTTTTACGTTGTTCCAGGTGGTGTGTCCGCAAGACCTAGACTACTTGATATAATAAATCAAATTAAGATAAAATCTAGGGATTTTTACATACACAACACTTAAAACTATGTTATTTACTCATTTAACACTTAAAGTTTTTTATTTGCACACATACCACTTAAAACTATTTCTCATTTCTAAAAAACCACTTCGTAACCACTCCGTCCCTCTCTCCGTGAAATCCCGCTGGCTTCACTTTGCAAGGCCCTCCACGCCGGAGTTTCGGCGATTGGGCCTCCACCGCCGACGACGGCCTGTCCGATTTCCATTCCAGCTGTGCACGGTTTCGCTTTCTTCCACAGTTTCGTTAATTTCGAGTCCTGATTGCATCGCGTTAATGGCGGCAAGAACGGCATGTAGGTCTGCCGATTCCCTGCGATGAAATTCAAATTAGAAATTTGAAGAAACAGTGAAATTTTTACGTCATAAGAAACAAATTCACTCACCGCATGAAGCTACGAAGGAGGTACACTCCTTAAAGATCGATTCAAGCCCCTCGACCAAATCGTGCACCATTTCATCTCTCACAGTCATCGGAATCTGGAAGAATTCATCGACGGTCACTTTCGCCAGTTTTATCAGATCCACCGCCGACAGTATGAATGGCTCGCTCTTCGATTTCAAAGGTCTGTTGGTGCAAGCCGGGTTGAATTCTATATTCAAAGGTCTCTGCGCAATGCCTTCACGAAGGTGTTAGAGACAGGGCATGATCATGTCGATAGCATGATCGTGGAGGTGGACGAGGATCCCATCGATATCTTGATCGAGTTGGCGAAAGACACGGAGGCACTCGCGGCGACGGAGAGAGAGAAGTTCAGTCCGGTTTTGTGACAATGGTGTCCGGCGGCCACCGGAATAGCGTTGGTAACGTTGCATAATTGCTTCGGACAGACTGTCGTCGGCGGTGGAGGCCCGATCGTCGGAACTTCGGCGTGGAGGGCCTTGCGAAGTGAAGCCAGCGGGATTTCACAGAGAGAGGGACGGAGTGGTTTTTTAGAAATGAGAAATAGTTTTAAGTGGTATGTGTGTAAATAGAAAACTTTAGGTGTTAAATGAGTAAATAACGTAGTTTTAAGTGTTATGTATGTAAAAAATCCCAAATAATGTCTGCATAACTTCATTCGCCATATATGTCTGCATAACCCCTTATGTTATTCCAAAGCAAGAATCATCAATTATTCAAGGTCTTTTGATGTGAAACTACTAGGAGTTACGTTTAGAAACGAGAAAGAAAATTGTTTTAAGTTTTGCCCTTATAAATTTATTTCAATCATGCAAGAGAGAATTAAGAATTTGAAAAATTTAACTTGCTTAGGCCAAAGATTAGCAATAGAGAATAACCAAGACTATCCTTTCAAAAACCAAGGTAAGATTAAATGCTAAGCACAAGTAACATAATCCAACACTTAACAATGAGAGGTTCACCTCAAGGCCTTCTCACTCAGCTACTTGTAGGCTTTAGCGGAGAAAGATGAGCCAAATAATGAAAGATATTACCACTACAACGATGGCGCCGAAGAACTTTGTTGGTGGAGAGGTAGCCGGTGGAGATGGATATAGTGGGTGGCCGACGAGGCTCCAATCGTAGCTT